TGCTCCGGGTTGATTTTATCTTTTGGGCCTCAAGCAATACTCTCTTGCCTTTTCCCTGCATTCCTTTTCTCTGTAGGAAGTCAGACCTTGCCCTTGGAAAGACCATCCTAGCTTTTATTTCTGTAGTTCCTCACCTTCCTTCTCCCCTTCATGCAAGAATTCCATCCACCCCTCAAAACAAAACTCTCAAACATCAGCGCATATTCATAAATAGCAGTCGTAGAAGGGCCAGTACAAGGGGAGGATTCTGGAACAAATGAACAATTTAGTTATCCCGGAGAACATAGAGAAAAGGAGGTATTTTAATAAATAAATTGGGAATAGCACTCAATAAAATATAAAACAAAAATATAATAAAGAGAATTTTAAAAGCCAAAGATTGGTTCTTTCTTTAAAAAAAATGAAGTGAATAAACCTCTGGGATATTGATTAAGGAAAGAAAAGACACAAGTAAACACTACAGTGGGAAGAATGGGGGTAAAAACTAAAGATAACATCAAGATTAGGATGATGAAGAGACAGTATCAACATCTACATGCCAACAATTTTGAACATTTTGACAAAATAAATATATCCTTGAAAAAATGTGACTTGTCAAAGCTGACTCAAGAAGAAATGGAAAAATTAAATAGTCCTATAACTAGAATTTAAGCAATCATTTTAAATATTCATATATATGAATATGTACATATATCACAAATACAAATCCATTGATAAGCAAATTTTAGCAAGTTATGGATCATCCAGTTTAAAAACAAAAAATCTCTGCAAAGAATAGAAAAAGAAATGAAACTTCCCAAATAGTTTTATGTCATAATTATCACCTGATATCAAAGCAGAAAAAGAGTACAAGAAAGAAAAGTGCAGGAGCTAATTTCACTTAATATATACAGGTATCCCAAAGAAAATCCTAGTAAATTGAATCCAACAGAAAATTTAAAACTAATAATACTGCATAAGGACCCACTAGGATATATTAAAGGTATGTAAAGATAATTTGATACTTTTAAATCCATGTTATTATATTGACAAATTAAAAGAAAAAATCAACATGTCAATAGATGCAGAGAAAGATAAAATTCTAAACAAATGTTGTCCTTGATAAAGCAGTAAAATTATTTTATTAAATCATACCTTTTAGTGTATGTTCTTTTAATATTTTGTATAACAAAATGGCAAGTCCACATAGAGCATTTCTGCATCTCAAAGTACAATGGTTGTCTTGTGAGGAAGTACCTGAGTGATTGATTGAATTTGGGCGCAACCAGCCACTTCATGGAACATTATTTGTATTTGTTAGAATAACTGATAAACTATAGTTATTCAGAACTGGTACTTGCCAAATGTTGTCACAAAATACATGAAGTGAGCCTGTTACTGTAAGAAAAACTGACAGTATTTGTTGCTAGTAATAAATATTTGCTCTATCAAGCAAATATCACCCCTTTGGAAAATTCATCCCTCATGGTGATGGATATATATTTCATATACATATTAAGTGTGTCAACATTTGGAAGATCTGCAAAACTTAGTGAGTCAATATTTTTCAAATGATTAATGCATTATGTGAAAAAGTTACACGTGGATAAAAGATCAACTTAAAAAAGTTACACGTGAATTAAAAGACCAATGCAAAAGAAGCCAATGAATTTTAATGACCTAGGGGATAAAATGTCTATTGATATGTTAGCAGATTCTGCATTGCTAGCAACCTTTAAGAAACTACTATTTATCACGTTTTGATGTAGTATCAAATAATATTAATTGAAAAGGTTATTAACATAATCCTCCCTTTTGCAATTACATCTCTGTATAAGGCTGGATTTTCTTCATACATGTCAACCAGAATAACATATCACTACAAATAAATGCAAAAGCTGATACAAGAATCTAGCTCTCTTATATTAAGCCAGACATTAAAAAGATTTGAAAAAATGTAAAACTATGCTATTCTTCAATAAATTGTTTTAAATA